GATCCGCCATAGACTGAGATAGAAACTCACTTTTGTGTTATTGAACGCCCGGCCGCGTACTGTTCCTTTATCAAATCTTCTTGAGGGTCAGACAGATTAGAAGAATTATTTTTAGCTTCCTAACTTTTTTCAGTTGATTCTTTAACCGATGATGGTTAAAACCTTGGAAAAGTGTCATTTCCTTTGGACCTTTGTGGGTGAGATTGACACAATTGTTTAAATGGACGGGGGTGTTGTTCAGCTGCTGGGGACTGGGGTCCAAAGAGTTGCTGTGTAATCTGGTTAGTGAAGGAGCTGACACAGGTTTTGTCCTCATGGCGCCATTTAATATCTTAACGTTGACTAATTCGTATGACGCTGATCTTCACAAAAGGCGACGACTGTGTGCATTTGGTCGTTCTAGAGTACCCTCCACTGAGAAACGAGTTGTTCTGACATATTGGACCATGGGAACCACTGTTGGCTTCTCAGGAAGTTATCTGATGTATAAAATCTCGAGTACAATGTTTCTAAAGCGACGATTTCTGTGGCAGTAAATAAGTGGATTCACTATAGAGTTCAGTTACAAAAGTGTCTCTGCTGACCGAAAGACCGAACTCTTGCGAAAAAACGTATAAAATACTTGTGCGGTCTTCTCTAAACTTAACAAATATTACGTAACACAACTAGAATCTACGAAACGTAAACAGATGTTCAGCTCCATAACATAAGTATTGCGGAGGCGGGGCGAAAACAAAGAGGATACCAAATTTTATGTCCAAATCTTTACAATTTGAAAGGGTCGAATAGATCTTATATTTTGTCTCTCCAATGTAGAACAACTGAGGGGATTTTTAAAACCCTTTGTCTCAGGGGGGGACACTCCCTATAATGACCTATACGGAGATGCCCCGCCCAAAAATTAAAGGGGTACCGATTTTAGGCCCCAGCTATACGAAAGGGAAGGGATTTCACTTGTTGAACTACATGAAAGTACAGGGAAATCTGTCATTTGGTTCGGTAAAAAGGCCCAAAACGACTAACAGATGCATCCGTTTTATGACTGTGAGAAAAGTCGAGAAAACGTTCCTGTTTTTGAGATTTATTTGGACAGAGCATTTATAGCAGTTTAAAGGGATGGAAAGTTCTAAACGGGTACGGGGTCGGACCTCGGGGCGGAGCCTCCCTGTATAAAACTTTTTGAGTATCCCCGGGTCCTTTGTCTTGTTGGAAATCAAGGAAGCAACTCTTTGACCGTTGACTCAAAAGGTGATTACCCCACAGTTTACCCGAACCGTCAGTCACTGTCAAGAATAATAGACTTATTTAGTACTTCATTCACCCGTAGGATCATATTCCACCTACTTATGACATGATTCTCCAAGGCTCAAAAAGGTCATCTACTTTAATGAACTTTATTTTGAAAGAAAGTGTATACTCCTTTGAGTACCGTCACATGACATCCAGTGGGCACAAAATGCACAAGGAAAATAAGCCTAACCTGGTCTATTGTAACGACAACAACATATTTCTATAGCAACCTCATAATTAATACAACATTAGAAAACAAAATGACTGGTGTAAGAAACCTTCCTAGTAGATTCATTGCATTAATTTTTTTGTCAAGGTTAGATTGGGCTTAGCTACTTTACAACAAACAAGGCAAAATCCGCCCCGTCAATGTCTTTTTTTGTTTTTCATTAAAAGGTTAATTTATCATTGCACAAACTTTGGACCTAACTCTCTCTTCATTTACAATATTAAATTTAATACTACGTTCTGAAGTTCACTTTATGGATCCAGTCTATAAA